CTAATATATAATGTAGTAATGAATACAAATATATTTTGTAGTAATTAATAGTAATATATATTGTAGCATTTAATATTAATATATATTGTAGTAATTAATATTAATATATATTGTAGTAATTAATACTAATATATATTGTAGCAATTAATATTTTTATATATTGTAGTGATTAATATTAATATATATTGTAGTAATTAATACTAATATATATTGTAGTTATTATTATTAATACATATATTGTAGTAATTACTACTAATATATTGGAGTAATATAAATTATATATTGTAGTAATAAATATTAATACATTGTAGTAACAAAAATTATAATATATTGCGGTAATAATTATTAATATATCATAGTAATAAATATTATAAAATAGTGTAGCAATAAATATTATAAAATAGTGTAGCAATAAATATTACTATAGTGTAAATCAGTCGAAATGCCTACTAACCTACGGAGTGTTTGGTGTTTGGCCGTATTCAATGAGAAGAATAGGACATTTCGTGACATTAATTGTAAATGATCAACCAGTCAGACGACGACTGAGTGATGGGTGGGGTCGCCCATCACCGATCTATAAACACTTTTGTTAATAAATGAGAATGACATACAACTATAGTAATGTAATAATACTATAATAATATTATTATAGTAATGTAATAATACTATAATAATATTATAGTAATGTAATAATACTATAGTAATACTATGATAATACTATAGTAATGTAATAATACTATAGTAATACTATAATAATACTATAGTGATACTATAATAATACTATAGTAATGTAATAATACTATAGTAATACTATAATAATACAATAATGTAATAATACTATAGTAATGTCATAATACTATAGTAATGCAATATTACTATAGTAATGTCATAATACTATAGTAATGTAATAATACTATAGTAATGTAATAATACTATAGTAATGTAATAATACTATAGTAATGTAATAATACTATAGTAATACTATAATAATACTATAGCTAAACTATAGCATATTCCTACCCGCAATGAGTGAGGATAGGGGCCATACCTCCCGTCATATACATTGTAATACACACAGACAAGATATAATATCTATGTGTAAGTGGCGATGAGAGGCCATTCGCGGAGTTTATAACGAACTACATGACTATAAACAGAACAGAGATACACATGTACACACCCTCGGATATTAAACATACACGTGTGAGTAGTATTATTCACAACACACACGGCCATATACGAACTGACTACATAGCAGTATATTCGTTGAATGATATAAACATAGACGTATTCATTGCATGATAAAATATAAACGTATCGCCTTTGGAAGAGATCACAAACACACATGTGTGTGCATAGGTAGGATTGGACGTACAACTCCAAATCATCTATATCACAAATACGCTGATAGCATTCCATACACGTAATAATTCAACTGCTAGCATCACACACACCCTAACACACATCCTAAAAACACTAAAACACTTACCCTAAAACCCTAAAACACACCCCTTAGAACACACACCCTTAAACACACCCCCTCAAACACACACCCTAAAACACTTACCCTAAAACACTTACCCTAAAACCTAAAAAAACACACCCTAAAACACAAACCCTAAAACCCTAAAACAGCCTAACACACACCCTAAAAACCCTGAAACACACACCCTAAAACACAAACCCTAAAATCCTCAAACCCGTATGTATCGGTAACGTCGCATTGTATTCATTGGAACGGTATGAAAAGATTGGCTTTAGAACGATCACAGGCACATACGTGTATATAAGATTCAAAGTACAATTAATACATTAATAGAAGGATTACAGGCACTTACGTGTATATAAGATTCAAGGTACAATTAATACATTAATAGAATGATCACAGGCACATACGTGTATATAAGAATCAAAGTACAATTAATACATTAATAGAAGGATCACAGGCACTTACCTGTATATAAGATTCAAAGTACAATTAATACATTAATAGAAGGATCACAGGCACTTACGTGTATATAAGATTCAAAGTACAATTAATACATTAATAGAAGGATCACAGGCACATACGTGTATATAAGATTCAAAGTATAAGTAATACATTAATAGAAGGATCACAGGCACTTACGTGTATATAAGATTCAAAGTACAATTAATACATTAATAGAAGGATCACAGGCACTTACGTGTATATAAGATTCAAAGTACAATCAATACATTAATAAAAGGATCACAGGCACTTACGTGTCTATAGGATTCAAAGTACGATTCCAGATCTTCGTCATCGCAGTTCCGCAAATAGTCTTCCATGATCTCGTCATCGATCTGTCGTTTCTGTGGTATAAATAGAACCGCACAAGCGCATACGATTCATGCTCATCTGTGATATACATGCAAGTCTGTATAAATATTAAACCATATATAATTATGAAAACTTTGTATAAATATGCAACTATATATATCTATGAAGCTTTATATGTATATATATCTATATATATATGTCACTAAATATAGAAATACATTTATGTATAGATATACAATAAAATATAGATAGGCACCTATTGCACAACTGCTTGAACGTAAGCAATCAAGGCTTACACGGAACTTAGCTATAGATATAGACATGCAACTATTTATAGAAATGCAACTAATTATAGATATGAAACAATCCACAGGTATGCAACTATATACAGAAATGCAATTAACTATAGATATGAAACTATCCACAGGTATGCAACCGTTTATAGATATGCAATTAAAGTATAGAAGTATAGATATGCAACTACAGCACACTCCGACATGATCCAATCATACACAAATACTTCATGATCCCCATCAATAAACCTCTTCAGCACCAACGCACATCACCCGCGGTGCAATAGTGTATCAAGTACCCGCACACATACACTCTACTTATAACATCATACATAAACTAATTCATAATCACCACGTATACACTCTACTTACGACGTCATACATAAATCACTTCATAGCCACCACACATACACTCTACCTATAACATCATACATAAACCACTTCATAATCACCACACATAAACCCCCTTCAACATCAACGCACATCACACACAGTGCAACAGTTAGCAAGCACCCGCAAACATACACTCTTTCTCTTCGGCTCCGCTGGATATTCTACACCATCTGATTGGTGGTCTGTCTTATCTCCAGTCGATACTACAGGCAACGCAGCACTGAACCCAAGTGTTGTTGCGGTGTTTGTGGTTGGGGTTGTGGTATTAGCCCTGGCGTCGGTGTCTATGAGCATCTGCAGTGTGGTTGGTAGGTATGTGAGAAGGGGTGTAGACGGTGTAGTAAGGCTTGTGGTGGAACGAAAATGGGGTTTAGGGTTTAGGGTTTATATATATATACATATATATATATATATATGTGTGTGTGTGTGCGTGTTTGTGCGTTTGTGTGTGTATATATACACCGGGACACCAGTACGTCGGTACATGGTTGTGGGTTTACGAATGTGTGCATATAATCGCACATAGACTTGTATGCAAAGATGAGCGCATGGAGAGATAAGACAAATAGCACATCGTTCATAACATTCTCCAACTCAGAATATCAACTGGTGTACGTGCTTATACAGCTGAGTATTTGAAGAAGGTGTGCTGTATTTAACAACCTTACATACTTACTTCAATAGATCCTATAGGAAGCGCGTACACAAGCAAAGTCAGAAGCAAAAGCAAAAGCAAATACGAGATATATTTGGATGGACAAGTGTATATTTGGTATACATATTTACACTCGCCAGTGTGTGCAATACCTCGGTGGGTGGTGTTGGATCTGATCCATCTAAAGTAAAGTACACTGTATCGTCCACCCCTTGGACGGCGTTGGAGGCTGCTCCGATGTCTGTAACAGAAACCAATCAAAATTAGTTGTTCTATCGGATATGAAAGAAACACACCCAACCAGTGAGATAACCACGGGCAACTCAAAAGGTGAGGCCGGCGTGTACCTCTTTAAGCGTTTATGAATGTCCACATATACACACACATAAAAAACGACATAAATATATATA